GCTGCCAGGCAGGAGAAGACTGTGGAAACTATGCGATGGTCACGAGTTTCACCAGAGGGCAACTGTTTTTTAAGGAAGAAGACTGGGAAGATGATGGATGCTGAAAGGCAGAGTAGGGCAGCGTAGCAGGCGACAGTGATGGGGAAGTTGGACCAGGACACTGGCACCCGGGCCTGCAGGCCGAACAACTCTACCAGCAGGACCAGCAGAGTGCAAGCGAAGCTGAACGCCCAGCAGAAGACGCACCAGTCAGCCATGCCTCCATGGGGCAGATAAGCTCCATGTGCAGCGACGCTGAATGCCACACAGGTGAATAACAGGGCAGCTACTCGCATCCAGAGCAACTGGGAAGTAGGGACCACAATCAATGGCATGATGGGATGTTACAGTCTGTCAGGAGGTGAAAGTGACTTTAATAGTCCAGCAAGTTTCAAGACGAGTCTTGTACTGAATGTCGGATCCTGCTTCTCCTCTACTTAGTGGGCATTTGTCTCATAATCTGCAGGAAGAAGACAAAGATAATCACAATAAAATGAAGCAAAGATGTGTTAATATGCAGTTAAGGAATAACTGTACAGTACGTCTGTGGAAAACAAAATTATTTTAGACATTTTAAAAATGTTGAAATTGTTTTAAATTTATTTATTTATTGAATTATTCACAGTCCATAAAAAGAGTAGCTGAGTTTAACATTTAAGTTTAATCTTATTTCTTGTTAAAATCACATGCCATCCTGATGCTATACTAGTACTATTGTTACGGCCCTAGCAGGGCCTCTCTCTCCTGAGGGTGCCTGTGTGGGCGTGTCCCACTACCTCCTGCCTGAGGTGCCACCTTTCCCTCTGGTACAGCTGACTCCCATCAGCAATTAAAGGTATTTAAGCCCAGAGCAGGGTGAGCTCTGGGCCAGAGTGCCATTTTGTGTGGGTCCAGCTAGTGAGCTGAGTGTTTTGTGGTGTTTCTTTTAGTTGAATTACTTCAATAAAACTGTTTTATTTAACTGTTTCGCCTCCCTGACTCCTTTTTCTGACCCGGTCACTTTTGTTACTTCCCCCTCACCGCCTAGACCCCTCAGGGGAACGTAACATGCCCTTGGTAGGGTTTCCCAAGGGATATTGGTCCTGAGTGAGGGGCCAGA